CGCCAGATTGTTCGCGTGGAAAACTGTTTTCTTTTTCATTGATATGATTGTCATCTTGGGTTACAAAGATCCGGTCTTTTATAGATCCGGTTACAACTAAATCAAAGAAAAAAAGTAAAAATTACAACTTTCCTTTTGTGAACAAATCGCGAGCTCCTGTTTTGCGGTCGCTCGCTTGTGTGGGTTCTTTGCCGACGCCGGGGTTAATCCGTGGACCACCGCGCGATCTAGATCCGGTCGGATCTACACGATTTGACGGGTATTATTTCGCGAAGGAAATAATAGCCGGGGGGGATTAATTCACCAAGGAAATAATCTCCCTTAGTTCTCGGGATCAAAGGCCAAGCTTTGATCCGGAGTATGATCTCGTGTAGATCTCAGATCTGATCTCTCTCTCTTTCGAACTCCTGCCTTTTGTGACGTGGATGCTCGTCGAGAACCAGATCTGAATGTTCAAGTCCTTAAGTCTTCAAAACTCCAAGCTCAATTCTCAATTCGGCAGAGTTTCGGCTCTTAAAGTTCCCACCTTTGAAAAATGAACCAAGGGGGCCTATTTATATGCTCTCTGAACTGTGCCCGCGCACAGATCTGGGTCGGCCACCTCTAGGTGGCCGGCACTGGGCCGAGCCACCGAGCCACCCATGGGTGGCTCGGTCTTGGCCGAGCCACCCATAAATCCGATTCCTGATTTGGCAGTAAATCCGATTCCTGATTTGGCAGTAAATCCGATTCCTGATTTGGCAGTAAATCCGATTCCTGATTTGGCAGTAAATCCGATTCCTGATTTGGCAGTAAATCCGATTCCTGATTTGGCAGTAAATCCGATTCCTGATTTGGCAGTAAATCCACTTCTGAGTTCGAGTCCGAAACTGATCTTGATTCGATCGTGATTCGTCCGAGTCTGCCCTTTGGTTGGATGACTCATTGACTCTTCAACCCGTTAGCTTGATTCCGCACGCGAGTGGATTTACTTCGTTGTTTGCGTGTGATTCGCTAACCTCATCGCCTTGTTGGTTCGTCGGTTTGTGCTGAGCTGTGCTAAGGGATCTATAAGCAATTTTATACGCCTACACCTACAGCTGATCGAACAAGTCATCAATTCAGGGCAAATGATATCTATTCCGGATAGTGACTTTGTTCAACTCACGGTAGTCGATACATAATCGTATACTACCATCATTCTTCTTTACGAAGAGGACCGGTGATCCCCACGGAGAATGACTCTGATGAATAAAGCCCTGAGCTAACAACTCATCCAACTGGGTCTGTAGCTCTCTCATCTCAGCTAGTGCCATGTGATAGGGTGCTCGGGATATCGGGGCTGTGCCCAGCTACAACTCAATACAAAACTTAATATCTCTCACAGGAGGTAACCTAGGTATGCCCTGAAAGACATCCTGATATTCTAAGACAACTCTAGTCTCGCATATATCAACACTCTGATCCCGAAGCATCACCTCCTCGATGTACGCTAGTAATGACTTCGCAAACTAGTTCCCCTGAGAGGTGGCTACAACTAACTCAGACCCATCGGACGCTCTCAAATTGACTATTTTTACAAAATAGTCAATACTGATGTGGTAGGAAGATAGCCAATCCATACCAAGAAATACATCAAACTCTGACATGCTCAACACTATCAGATCAACAACAAACTCAGACTTATCAAAACTGATAACACACCTCTTACAAATGCTCTCCAAGAGCGACATCTTACCTAGAGGGGTGAAAACTGACAAAGAAATGTCTAGAGGCTGAGCTATGAGCTAAAGTCTAATCATATATGCATAGGATATAAAAGAGTGTGAAGCCCCTGAATCGAAAAGAATACGGGTTAGAAAGGAGTTCACGAGGAACGTACCCTCCACTACGGCCCTGCTCGCACCATACTCACAAGAAACTACCGCATAAACTCTGTCGATGGCTAGAGGCTGCTCTACTGCTGGAGGTGGAGCATATGGAACTACCTATCCCTGATGGACCTCCTGAACTGCACGAACCAGCCCCTCAATCTGCGGTACTACTGGCGGTGCCTCCAGTCTCATTTGCTGGCCCTAACCTCGACCCTAAAATCGGTTCTGTTGCTGATTCTGCCCTTTCCCTTGCTGGGCTCCTACTGGTGCACTGCGACACTCTGATGCTCTGTGGCCAAGCTTGTGACACTTAAAACAAGTGCCCTAAAACTTGCACTGCTAAGGCGCTCTCTGATCCTTCTGGGGTCCTCTCCTACGAGGAACTTGTTGCTGCTGTTGCTGGGGTCCTGAAAAAGGCCTCTTATTCTTATTATTACTATTATGCTGGTCTTGATTTCATAATTAACTACATGTATTTCTCCCTGCTTTAATTGAACTAGCTCTAACTGCTTGTCGAAGAAGTGAATAAAATTTTCCCAAATAAGTGATACTATTTAATCCGGCGAAAATCTGAAGTCTTTGCTATCTCCGCTACTATCCCCGGCGATGTCCTCCACTGAATACATCTAACCTTTGCTTTGGTATTGAGTAGAAGTTAAGAAATTTTTACATATTCCTTTTTATATATAAACTGCAAATGAATCCAGTGTGCCCTGCACTATGGTGTTCTCAGTGTCCTATATCTTTCTTATTCTTACAGAGATAAGCCTCCTGCTCTGCGGTTCTGTCAACAGTTGGTTGTGGTGATGATAAAATCATTGGTATTAACTCTTCAATAGGCACGACTAGTACAATGGGTTGTGGATCTCTAGAAGGTGATATTACTGGCAGAAACAGATAGCCTCTCGCCTCGAGTGTTCCAAAATCTTGCTACAAACGGCGTCATGAAATCAATCAAATGTTGTGGAGCCTGATGCGGCTCAAGCTCTACTTGCCTAGCTCTCCGGGTACGAGTTTACCTCGACCACATCTTCGTCCCGATATTCATAACATATCATATCACAATATATATATATATATAACATATCACAATATGTATTCAGGCAGTTACTTTTCAATATATATATATATATATATATATATATATACATAACACATCACAATATGTATTTAGGTAGTTACTTTTCAATCAAAGTATACTAGTCTCACAAAAAAAATATTCGTAATTTTTGAATACCGTATATAACGTCCTCACTCATTCTAGAAATTTCTAGTGGACTCTATACACGAATCTTAAGAAACTCTACTCTAACTTCACGACTCGACACAAGATGATCCTAAGCATACTGGAACTAAAGCTCTGATACCAACTGTGACGTCCCTGGTTTCAACAAGGCTGCAGTCCAAGGTGAAACTAAGAATGTCAAACCTGCCAAGCACCAAACACCATGTTATGACATGTTTTACCATCACAGTTACTACATATCTAGTGGAAACAACAACAGGTAAAGGTACAAAACAGGCAAGAGAGAATATACAGAAGGAATACTAAACAACAGATACTCTAAAGAAAATCATCACCACTGATATAAATATATAAATCTCTAAAAAGAAAACATCTGAGCTGAATACAAGTGTCTCGACATAGAAAATCAAATGAAATGACATTAAGGCACATCATCTTTACAAAACTATAATAATAACTCAAATATTCATAAATACATCTACTGTGGAGCTCTGATATAAGCTACTAACAATAACTATAAATAACAACTAGAGCAACTCCATCAAGCTACGGCTCTCCGTGCACCTGGCTCGTTACCTAAAAGAGGGGAAACAACGAGCGTCAAGCGCTAGCAAGTAACATCTCAACCAACCCCAGGGGGAAGGGCTAGAAGGATAAGAAAATAGCTGATAATATATATAGATAGTCAATCATCGATTGTAAAATAAAATGGAGGTTTGATGTTTAGAAATTTACAACACGAGCATATGTACGTCTCCCTTAGCTCAAATTGTAAATAGCTAAATATCAAATCTAAAAGCTATAACGTGGAGCAATAACTCCATCTCTAATCATACTATCAATGACCTGTCATATGGTTAAAAACGTCGCCAAAAATTATGTTTTTCCCGACGCTTTTAGCTAGCGTCGGCAAAAAATATATATTTCCCGACGCAAAATACAACATTTGCGTCGCTAAATACTTTCCTTGACGCACTTTTGGCGACGCGTTAGCGACGCTGTATTTTGCGTCGGGAAATATTTTTCCCGACGTTTTTTAAACATTTGCCGACGTTTTTGTTTCGTCGGCAATGTTGTATTTTGTTGTAGTGATAGCACAAACAATCAAACACCAGTTTTACGTGGTTCGGCGAGATGCCTACGTCCACAGGGCAAGGAGGGGGGAGTTTTCACTATTAGAAATCAAGAGGAACAAACTAGGGTTACAATCTCTCACCAAAACCCTCAACAACTCACTCTTAATCTCTCCAATTTCTCCTAGAATAGAAGCCCAAAGAAAACCCTCACAATCTGCTCAAATACTCCTGCCTTACAAACCCTAGAATTGAGTTTGGGTATTTATAGAAAACCCAAACGAAACGGATCTGAAAACAGACCCAGCCCATAACCGCAGCGGCGGTCGACCGCGGCGGTCGACCGCCCTCAATCCAGAATAGCACCTGAGGTCCAAAGACTTCTGCGGTCGACC